TCCCGGGTGTCCCCACAGTGGTGCATCCCAGTCTGCCTCCCTCTGCCGTAGCCCCCAGGTGAGTGGCTGTGGCTATTTTAATACTCTGTCCTGGTTCTCTGCACTGTGGAGAGGGCTTGGTCTTTATTCCCCAAGGGCATTGCTCACAGCTCAGACTGCTGCTGTCCATGGGCTCCCAGCCTGCCACCCTCTTATGCCTCCGTGGATTCTACCCATGTCCCTGGTTATATGGTCCTGTCCTACTGCTTTTCTGTTGCTTTTTTTCTGAGGATTTGTCTTAATTTTAGTTGTAATTCCCGTTTGGTCCTGGGTGATCATCTGCGTAACTTCTATTCACTCTGCCTCCATTTTTCACTTCCTCTATGCCTATCTTGTGTACAGCTGAGCTGCAGAGCCCTTCCTGGTGCCCCAGCACCCTGCAGGTCCCGTGGGTGACTGGATCGCACAGTCCCTTTGGGGACCTGGCTCTATGCCTATGTTATGGGCTGCTGGGTTGCACAGGCCTCTCTGGTGCTTCAGCACCCCGCAGGTCCCACAGATAACTAGATTGCACAGTCCCTGCAGGATCACACAGGCCTCTCTGGTGTCCCCGCACCCTGCAGGTCCCTCAGGAGGGCAGCTGGATTGCACCAATCTCTCTTGGGCTCTGGCTTCCCACTACTCTTGTGAGCTACTGGACTGTACAGGCCTCTGTGGAGTCCCCCAGTACTTCTTTTATTAACTGCGTATAAGCCTCTGCTTAAATATCCTAAAATACTATGGTATCAATGTTATCAGTCTCACTGGGCTATAGTTCCCAGAGGCTGCCTTCTTCTTCCTTCTGGGGATCTAATGTACAGCATGGTGACTATAGTTAATAATACAGATCTCTTGCCCTGGCCAGTTTGGCTCAGCGGTTAGAGCGTCGGCCTGCGGTCCGGAGAGACCTGGGTTCGGTTCCCGCTAAGGGCACGTACTTCGGTTGCAGTTTGTCCCCGGCCCTGGTTGGTCGTGCGGGTGGCAGCCACTCGATGTGTCCCTTCACGTCGATGTTTCTCTCTCTCACTCCTTCCTCTCTCTCCCTCCCACTCTATCTGTACAAAAAATGGAAAAATATCCTCGGGTGAGGATAAAAAAAAAAAGAAAAGAAAAATAATAGAGATCTCTTATCCTTTGAGACTACATGGAGTGACCTGGAAAGTATTATCCTAAGCAAAACAAGCCAAACAGAGAAAGACAAGTATCATATAATCTCACTTATTTGTGGAATATAATGAACATAACAGTCTGAGGAATGGGATAGTCCCAGAGAAGTGGAAGTGGGGTACAGACTGACAATTCCCAGAAGAGGGGATGGTGGGGGAGAGATAAACCACAGAACTTCTATGCATGTATGCATGAACAGTGGACATGGACAACAAACTGGGGACAGGGCAGGGAGGGAGGAGGAGGGGGAATCAGTGGGGGGAAAAGGAGAAACATCTGTAACAGAGATAAATAAATAAATAATAAAAAATAAATAAATAAATCTTTTGCCCTGGCCGGTTTGGCTCAGCGGTTAGAGCATCGGCCTGCGGTCCGGAGAGACCCGGGTTCGGTTCCCGCTAAGGGTGCGTGCCTCGGTTGCAGTTTGTCTCCGGCCCTGGTTGGTTGTGCGGGTGGCGACCACTCGATGTGTCCCTTTCACATCGATGTTTTTCTCTCTCTCTGTTCCTCTCTCTCTCCCTCCCACTCTACCTGAACAAAGAATGGAAGAATGTCCTCGGGTGAGGATGATAAAAAAAAATAAATGAATAAAAAATAAATAAATAAATCTTTTATCCATTTTGAGTTTAAAAAATAATAATACTGTATGCATGGTGTCAGGTGCATACTAGGCTTATCAGGGGGATAACTTCATAAATTATATAAATATCTAACCACTATGCTGCATGCCTGAAACTAATATAAAATAATATTGGATGTCTACTGTAATTTACACAATGGAATACTATGCAGTTATAAGAAAGAAAGATCTCTTACCCTTTGATATGACATGGAGGTACCTGGAGAGTATTATGCTGAGTGAAATAAGCCAGTCAGAAGAAGACAAGTAACCTATGATCTCACTTATTTATGGAACATTGTGAGCAAAATAAGCTGTTGATCAAAACAGATCCAGAGTCATGGAAGTAGGGAACAGACTGACAAACCTCAGAGGAATGGGGGGAGGGTGGGAGGGGTGGGAAGAAATAAACAAAATAACTTATATGCATATATTCACAACCAATGGACACAGATATTAGGTTGGGGGAAGTAGGAGGACGGTGGGAGCAGGGAGGAGGGGGTCAATGGGGGAAAACAGGGGAACATCTCTAATACTTCTACCAATTAAAAATAAAATAAATTAATTATAAAAAATCACATTGTACACCTTAAACATATACAGTTTTATTTGTCAAGTATACCTCAATAAATCTGGGGGGGGGGGGGAATTGGGATCATGTTTTTGTTCTTTTCCAGCTTCCCAACATGTTTTCTTTATAGCAGGATTCCTCTGGGCTAACAAATTTCAACTTATTTACAATAGCTAAGCCCTAACTTATTATTTCAGTATTTATCCTTGGCTCTATATTTCCTTTTACTATGTTTGCTTGTTCTATCTATTCCAATTTGATGTGTATTTTTCTTGACAGAATATGAAAGAGAAATAGAATGGAGGGATTGTTGAGGTCCCAGCCTCCCATATAAAGTCTTTGTGATGTGTTGTGATCACATAGTCAACAGCTCTACAACTGTAGTGCTTGACACTTTATGTAATTTGGAGATGGTGTCTCCAGATGGCAGCCTTGTGTCACAGCCACAGGCTCAAAACTAATGCTGAAAGCCACAAGTGTGTTGTTGATTGGAGGATAGCTTTCTCATTGTCATCTGTCTTCATTCTCCAGCTGCCTTCAAGAAGAGGGTCCAGCCTTTCTTTCTTCCTTTAACTCCTGATGCACTTTTATTCAAAGCCCCCTTGTTTTTGTCCCATAGGATTTGAGAATTGAATGAGCTCACATGGGGCTTCAGCCTTCCTGACCTTAGACTAACAGATTTTTGTCATACTGTGTATGCACCCTTGGACAGGTGGCCCTCTGCCTGTTTATAGGTTTCCCTTTAAAATCTGAACCCGCCCTGGCCAGTTTGGCTCAGCGGTTAGAGTGTTGGCCCACGAACCAGAGAGACCCGGGTTCGGTTCCTGCTAACTGCGTATACATTGGTTGCAGTTTGTCCTCGGCCCCACTTGGGGTCGTGTGGGTGGCAACCAGTCAATGTGTCTCTCTCATGTCGATGTTTCTCTCTCTCTCTTCCTCCCTCTCTCCCTCTTGCTCTATCTGAAGATAAATGCAAAAATGTCCTTAGGTGAGGATAAAAAAATAAATAAATAAAATAAAATCTGAACCCACTGAAGAGTCATGTCTATTGTGTAGCCAATGAGGTGACTTTATGATGCTTTTATGATTCAATGACCCTATTTAATACCTTTTGTGCTCAATACTGAACTAGGATTGGACTTTCATTCTTAAGCAGCCTTGTTTGATATTGCATTCCCTTTGTCTCTCTAGCTTCCATCTTTATATCATTTACAAATTATGTTAAATTTACTTATTGTAAAATTTATTCTTTTTGGTTCAGAGTTCTACAATCTTTGACAATTTCATAGTCATGTAACTACCACCACAGTAGCAAACATCAAGAACTTGCCCAGGGCTGCCTCCTTGAGCTTATCCCAGACCTCTACCCCTGATTTATGGAAACCACTGATCTATTCCTATATTTTTGCCTTATCCAGAACATTGTATAACTGGAATCCTACAATATGCAGCCTTTTGAGACTGGCTTGTTTCACTTCACAAACTTCATTGGAGATTCATCCATGTTGTTGCATGTATCAGCATTTCCTTCTCCTGTATGAATAAACAACAGGTAGTTTAACCATTTGCCCATAGAAGGACATTTGAATTGTTGCCAGCTTTGGCAATTATTAATAGAGATACTTTAAAATATTTTTGTACATAATTTTGTATGAGCACAGATTTTCATTTTACTTGGGTAAATACCTAAAGTGGGGCTGCAAAGTTACATGGCAAATGTATGTTTACTTTTATAAGAAACTACCAAAATATTTTTCCAAAGTGGCTGTCTCATTTTGTTTCCCTCAAGAATGCACAAAAGTTCTAGTTTCTCTCCATCCTCACCAATATTGGTTTTATCCTTTTTTTTTTTTTTTTTTTTTAAGTTTAGACATCCTAATGAATATATAAGGATATCTTGTTGTGGTTTTAATTTGCATTTCTCTAATAACTTATGATGCTGAACATCTTTTTATGTGCTTATTTGCCATCAGTATATCCTCTTCAGTGATGTGTCTGTTCATGTCTTTTGTCTATGTTCTAACTGAATTGTTTGCTTTTTTACTGTTGAGTTTTGAGAGTACTTTATGTATTCTAGATACCAATTCTTAGCTGGATGTGTGGTTTGCAAATATTTTCTCCAAGTTTGTGGTTTGTCTTTCATTTATTAACAGTGCTTTTCATACAATTTTTTTTTTATTTTGACAAGGTTCAATTTATTGATTTTTTTTCTTTTATTAATTGTGCTTTTGATATCTAAGACCTCTTAGCTCTAGAACCCAGAGATTTTCTCTGGTGTTTTTTTCTAAAAGTTTAATGATTTTACTTTTTACATGTAAATTCATGGCCCATTTTGAATTATTTTTATATGAGGTGTTAGACTTAGGTCAAGGTTCTTTTCTTTTCTTCTTTTCTTTTTCTTTCTACCTATGGAAGTTCAATTGCTCCAGCAACATTTGTTCAAATGGCTGTCTTTCCTCCATTGAATTGCTTTTGCATCTTTGTCAAAAATAATTTAAACATACTTGTGTGGGTCTATTTCTGGGCTTTTTTTTTTCCTGTTCCATTGATCTATGTTTCTGTCCTTTCACCAATACACTGTCTTAATTACTGTACTTCTAGTTTGCTTTTCTTCTATTGCTACAGTCCCCAGATGGTGTTATACATTAAATATCCAAGACGGAGAAGCCACATGCTACTCACCAAGGGGAGGGAATTATCACAGCAGCCTGGGCACTCGTTGTGAGCTCTCCTGTGACCGGGGATTTCGACTGATTGGACGAAGTTCGGTGCAATGCCTGCCAAGCCGCCGCTGGTCTGGAACCGCCTATTGCAGGCGTAAGTGGTGTGTGTGCAGATGCTGATGTGTGTATATAAGGGAGGCCGGCCAGCCAGCCAGACACTGAGTATATATGCATGGAGGTGTTACTATGCCCTCTGTCAAGTGCAAATTGAGAATTTTCCACAGGTGCCCAAAGTGGCCTTGCCCCATCCTAACGTTCTAGCTCATTTCTTCAACCTGTGGTTATTGTCCAGTTAATATGAATATTTAAGTATCAATCAGCCCTTCTGGTTTGGGGGGCCAAGGAGTGAATTTAAGACTTGGCTCTGGGGCCTGATAAACCTGGGCCTTCTTCTGGAGCTCTCAAGCATGTGTGGTCTCAGACTCTTTCCCACCTGTGGCAAACTGCTATACTTCCTGGCCTAAGGTTTTGGCAGTGAAGAAATGAGACATCTGTTACTCTTGTATTTCTTTGGCCAGTCACTGAGAATCCTTAGGCTAGAATGGGGGGGGGGGGCTAATACACATACATTTCAAATCATGTACCTCTTGGCTCCCAAATCCCTAACTTTTATTCAAGCTCTACAGCCTACCCGTTTTTGCCAACTGTGCTTGTCTGTTCATATGTCTATCTCTGAATGCCATTTGTAGGACACTCATGTGTGCAAGGCCCTGTACTGGTTTTTTCAGGAGCTTACTCAATTCCTTAGTTAACCCAAGGCAACTTATAGACTAATGGATAGAAACACAAATGTGTGCACATGAAGATGGTGTGACCAGATATAGAATGCTGAGCAATCAGAGAGAAATTAGGTTGGTCAGAAAAGATGCTATGGAGGAGAAAAGCTTGATAGACAGAAATAAGGCAGCCACCACACCCCTCTTGATAACTGTAGTCAATTTGTTTTAATATTTCAACCCCATTGTTTCCAAAATAAATTTGAATTGGCCTCACAAAATTAAATAATATAAGTGTATAAATGAACATAAAACCAGTTAAAAGAATGAAGATGTACATATTTCCAGGTGCTTAGAGTGAGTTAATTACTATATTTGAAGAGTGAATCTGACTTTGCCCTTCCTCATAAGAGACAAAAGGGCAAACACTTTAGATATATCATTTTCACTGCCACATAATACTAAGAAAAGAAATTCATCTGCGAAGACAAACTTTTTTTTTTCTTGGCCCTGATTTCAAAGAGGCAATTTTTGCATAAAGGATACTAGAAAACATAAAAGGCAATAATCTTCCAGTCTATTTTGACCAAGAAGCAAAATGAACATAGCTTATAGAATCTTTATGCAAAGCTCCAGTAATTGAATTTATGCAAGGTTAGAACTTAGAAATGTAAAGGAATGTGTGGCTTGTACACTTCTTTCAAGTATCAGGTATCTCAGATTAGACTTTGGCCACGCACAGGCTCACAAGCAGCTCATAGTAGCAGTCTCCACTTCTGGCACATGTAGTATCCAAAGCACATGGATTTCTCTCTCTTTTTTTTTTCTTTATTGATTTTAGAGAGCGAGATAGATAGAAACATCGATGAGCGAGAACATCAATTGGCCACCTCCTGCATGCCCCACACAGGATCAGGCCCACAACCTGGGCATGTGCCCTGACTGGGAATCGAACTGGTGACCTCCTGGTGAATGAGTCAGTGCTCAACCACTGAGCCACACCGGCTAGGCCATGGATTCCTCTTTAATTAAATACCACCAAAGTTGGCCCTCTAGGCAGTGGCCTGACTTGTATTCTCACCTGGACACAGGGCCAGCCTACTTTCACATGTAAGTGAGCCTCATGTGAAGAGTGCTTGTGGCAATACCAAAATTATACTAAAAAAAGGAGCTTTGAATTTGCTCAAGGATATCTAACATTTGAGGAACAAGAGATAAAAACTAAGAGCAGCGGAGGCTCTAAATGAGCCCAGAGGTTTATATGCATCATCCCTTTTAATCTGCACAACAGTTCAATGAAGTAGTCACATTTTAGTGGTGAAAACACTGAGACTTAGAGAAATGAGGTAATTTGTTCAAGTCAGAGAGCTTGCAATGGGTGGAGCTGGGATCTAAACTCAAATGTGATTCTCAAGTGCATGCACTTGAAAAGTAATCTACTTCTTTGAGAAACACCCCTCTCCAGCATTTCTGTACCTTATAATATAAAAATAAGAAAGCAGTTAAGTACAAAAATGTAAGGGCAGTTTGGGGTAGTGTTTTCTGTATTTTATGCTGTCTCTGATATCCCTGTGCTAGATGCCCAGGCATCACCTCCAGATAGTCCCACAGGCCACTGAGCTTGCCACTTGGTTTTCTTTTAGAGATGAGATGTCGCACATTGCCATTCATCACGAGTGGCACCTACACCTGCACAAATGGGGTGCTTCTTGACTCCCGCTGTGACTACAGCTGTTCCAGTGGCTACCACCTAGAAGGTGACCGCAGTAGAATCTGCATGGAAGAAGGGCAATGGAGTGGAGGCGAGCCTGTATGTGTAGGTAAATGTTGGTTACCCCCAGTTGTCCTGATGCAAAGAGTCACCCTGGTATTGTGTCCACAAAGAATGTGGAATCCTTACCGCAGAAGGCATTTCTGCTTGCTATGAGGGTGGCACTCTGGGTACATGCTTAAAGAAGCGATCACTTTCCCTGCAGCTGGGCTTTCTTCCCCAGTTTCATTGAGCATCTTAAATAGTGTATCTTTTACCTACCTAGTGGTGTGGTAGTGCTTCCATGGGTTCCCTCCAGGGAAGACGGGGGCTCACGAGTCAGCACCTGATTTCTAATCTTGGCAGACATAGATCCCCCCAAGATTCGTTGTCCCCACTCACGTGAAAAAATGGCAGAGCCGGAGAAACTAACTGCTCGAGTATACTGGGACCCACCTTTGGTGAAAGATACTGCTGATGGTACCATTACCAGGTAAGTAACAGATTCCCCTTATGCTTCCTAGAGAAGCTTCTCCCAGGCTCTAGGGCTGAGGCTACTATGATGACGTTCCCCAGACCTCTAACCTGAGGATCTCTTTTCAGTGATTTTTTCACTCTGTCCCATGTAGGGTGACACTTCGGGGCCCTGAGCCTGGTTCTCACTTTCCTGAAGGAGAGCATGTGATTCGTTACACTGCCTATGACCGAGCCTACAACCGGGCCAGCTGCAAGTTCATTGTGAAAGTACAAGGTCAGAAAGAAGTCTTCCATTTCCACATTGCGTATTATTCCTGTTCTGCCCTGACTCTCTAAGTGCTCACCACAACCCTCTCTTCTCTATGCCTGAAACAGACACCTCATTTAGATTCGGAGAGGGAAAAAACAAGTTCACTAAAAAAGGGTCATTCAGGAAGTCTGCATGATATTGTGCATACACATGTTTCAGAAATCCTGACTCCCCAACAGGATTTTCTCATTCTCCTAAATCTACATACATTTCTACAAAGATACTCTGTATCTATTTCTTTTCTTGACCTAATTATCAAATCTAATCAGCCTTCATTCTCAGTCTTTTGCCTCTGCTGAAATCAGTGGTGTTGCCTGCCTGCCTGATCCTTCCTCTTTGTTTAGTGTTGTATTGTTTTGCTTTTTTTTTTTTTTTTTCATTATAAATATAATTCATACTCATTTTTGAACACTTGGAAAATATAGAAATATACAAAGGAAAAAAGTCCATTATTGCATTGTCCAAAGGCAATTGTTGTCAATCTTAGTATTTTCTTTCCAGCCTTTCATCTACACATACTGTAATATATATATAGTTGAGATCATATTGTATATCCAAACTTAGATAACCCTTTATAAGTTTTCATTATAATACAACTAATTTTCCCATTTTCTTTAAAAATTCTTTAGAAATATTTGTTTTTCTTATATGATTTAAGAATTTTTTAATTAATTAATTTTTATTTTATATTTTCTAACACCATTTTTCCCCTCTATATCCTTTTCCACCTCCACCTACTCCCTTCACCCCTATTGCCACCAGAAATATTTTTAATGACAGCATAATGATCTACTTCTAAGAATATAATTTGCTTAGTACTTCTCCCAGTGATGGATATTTAAATCTTCTCCTATTTATTTTTAATATTAAAAGTAATTTTATAAGATGGTTATCTTTATGTAGGGCGTCCACAGAGTCTGAAAACAAAAATGGCAATATTAGCCCTGGCCTGTGTGGCTCATTTTGTTGAGGGTCATCTGATGAACCCAGAGGTTGCTTGTTCAATTCCTGCTCAATCCCTAGTAGGAGGCGTGCAGGAGGCAGACAATCAGTGTTTCTCTCTCATTGATGTTTCTCTCTCTCCCTTCCTCTCTCTCTCAAATCAACAAAAACATTTTTTAAATGGCAATATTAACTTACAGAATAATAAAGTATTTTGATGACAATATGTATACTCAGCTGTGCTTCCAGATTTTATGAACACCTTGTCGTCATTTCAGATTTAATTCCTTAAGAAAATGAAAATTTGGCTCTATTCCTAGCCATTGGAAACACATGAAAGTCATTCATTCTGACCACCCTAGGTCTGATCTAGAAAACCCAGCATGGCCACCCTCTTAACCATTTTTTTTTTCTAAAAGAGATACCATAGCCCCTAACTTGAACTCCCCATTGACAGTGAGACGCTGCCCAACACTGAAACCACCACAGCATGGGTACCTCACCTGCACCTCAGCGGGGGACAACTATGGTGCCACCTGTGAATATCACTGTGATGGAGGTTATGAACGCCAAGGGACCCCCTCCCGGGTCTGCCAGTCCAGCCGCCAGTGGTCAGGATCACCACCCATCTGTGCCCGTGAGTGAAACCAGGGAATGGGGAGAGTGGACATATTGATCAGGGCTACTATGAAGGATTTCCCAATGTGTATGGCGCAGGGGTTCAATGGTAATATGTGTGATGTGGGAATGAGGGGGGGAGATGTTCTAAGAAGTACTTATTTTAAAGGGCAGTGTTCTCCTTCAAAATACTCTTACTCCAAGATGAAGGATTTAAAATCTGCAAGTGTTCTTTCAGGATTTACCCCAAGGAAAGGGAGAAGCAACCAAAAAGGGTTAACCTGAAAGATTGGAACTCCTCAAGAAGTTGTTACCCATGCTGGGATGAAGGAGAAGGCCATACTCTGACTGGCCATCTGCTTCTGTCCTAGCTATGAAGATTAATGTCAATGTCAACTCAGCTGCTGGCCTTCTGGATCAGTTCTATGAGAAACAACGCCTCCTTATTATCTCGGCTCCTGATCCCTCCAACCGATATTACAAAATGCAGATCTCTATGCTACAGGTGAGACCCACACCCCTAATTAAGGTTTAGCTCTTTATATACCTTCTAAACTCACCCCATTACTCCCTTACCTCTTCCAAATCAAAGAGTTGTTCTTTTTTCAGCACAAACTGTACTTCCTCAAACAGTGGACATTTGATCAGTTTTACTCTAGACAAATTAAGCCCATTTTAAAAACTGCTATGTTTTTACTAAAAAGACAGTGAGGACCCTGGAATGGTAGGTGTGACTTGCAGGGGTCTTGGTGAAGGGTAGGAAAGGAGTTTGGCAGAGCACTGTAGAGAGGCTTGTAAAATAGGTATGATCAAATGTAAATTAAATTATCTTTAGGTTTTCAAGGAATAATAGCATTAACAAATATCTAGATGGTAAGTGCTAGATAGGTACCAGGTATATAAGTATGTGCTTTACACATATACACTTAATTCTCAAAACAACCCTTAAGATATAGGTACTACTAGTATTTCCATTTTAAAGGTAAGGAAACTGAGGCAGAGAAAGTTTAAAGATTTACCCAAGATCACTAGCTATTAAGTGACTGAGCCAGGATTGAACTCAGTCTTATTCCAGGACCTGTGCTCTTAACCACTACTTGTAGCAGAAGAGATGGAAACGTGTTGTGATATTTCAAAGTAAAATGAGGGAATGGCACAACGATTTTTAACGCACTACACGGTACCTAGCCAAAGTCACTTGTGGGGAAGGAAAGGTGGATAGGATGAAATAGATATGACCATTGGGACTTATAAAAAAATAGACTAAGTTCTTAAAGAGAACTCAGGGTATGATGAAAACACTAAGAGAACCAGCTCTAAGGAGCTGCAAAGGGGGCTGGATATCCAGGTAAAACAAGAAGCTATTTAGAGGTTTTCTAAAGGTTGAACCTTATAAGTGTCCCAGTCAATATTCAAAGGCCCATGATGGAAGCAGCTTTATCAAAAGCATGACCCTCGGTATCTAGACCTAGTTCCTCCAGGGATTAAAAAGAAAAAAGGCAAACAAAGGCAATACCTCAGCTTAAACAGAAAGCAAGAACAAGAACTGGAACCAGCCAATGAGGACAGTGACTCTGAAGGTTAGGACTAGAGGTGTAGCCCAAAGATTAGACAAGGGTTTGGGCACCAGGGAGTGTTCACCAAGGCTTTAAAGCTTGCCCTAAGTAATTGGCAAAGAGATAACCCTACAGAACAATGCAGGACAAAGAGCCAGGGTAGGATTACAGGGTGTCCTGCCTAGTATAAGGAAGGAAACAAAGGGTAATGAAAAGAGCACTTGCACTATTTTGGAGAAATTCTGGAAATGGAGATTGTAGACTAATGGTAAAGACTACACACTTGGGTAGGCAGTGGCAGCCCTAAATTTAAATCTTGGTTTAGCATTTTATGGTCATGCAAATTTGGGCAAGTTACTCTTTTCCTCTATGAAATAAGAATATCACCTGCCTTATTAGGGGTATTATGAGGATTAAATTATATTATGCCTGCAAAGCATTAGGTATGTGCATTCAGTAAATAATAGCCATTATTATCATATCACAATTGCTATCCATTAAGAACCTATGTAGCTTCCAATTGTAATATAAATAAGTCATGGGGACATAATGTACAACATAGTGATGATAGTTAATAATATTGTATTATATATTTGAAAATTGCTAACAGAGTAGATCTTAACAGTTTTCATCACAAGAAAAACATCTATAACTATGTATGATGATAGATGTTAACTAACTTATTGTGATGATCATTTCATAATATATACAAATATTGAATGATTATGTTTTGTATCTGAAATTAATGTTGTATGTCCATTAGTATCTTTTAAAAAAGAACCTACATAGTTTAAAACCTGTGCAAAACTAAGCAAGAATGGATTGTGTTCCTGCAATTTATAAATTACATTTCTCCTTTCTACCAGCTTCACACACTTCATTAGAATAAAGGAAACACTGTTAGGGCAAGTAAATCAGGAATCATAGGGGAAAGAGATTGTAGACCCCATCATATGATGGTTGGGAGAGAAACCCCTCTGTTCTCACACTGCCTCAAGGTAGTCCCTGAAAAAAGCAGCTAAGTGGTCTTAGATTTGAGTCTGAGGCCCTATTCCATAAAATCTTCTCTCCCCTCTCAGCAATCCACCTGTGGACTAGACCTGCGGCACATGACCATCATCGAGCTGGTGGGGCAGCCACCTCAGGAGGTGGGACGCATCAGGGAGCTACAGCTGTCAGCCAATATCATCGAGGAGCTCAGGTCCAGGCTGGAGGGCCATTGGGAAGGGGTGGGCAGAAACCCTAGGTGAAACACTGGTAACAGGACGGTTGTGGGAGAATCAGTTAGACTACTTTCTTGGGCACTACTTGTGTGTGAACTCTTTGGGTGCATTAATTAAGACCAGAGAGTGGCAGAACATCAGAATCAAATGGAGGGGCACTTAAAATACAGATGACCAAGCCCCATCTCAAACCACCTCAAGACTGTGTTTTGTTGTTGTTTTTTTAATAAGGCGCCTCACAAGACTCCGAAGCACAGCCAGTGCTAGACACAGACCCAAACATGACTCAGATAAGCCTCTGATACTGTTACCCCACGGCCTCATCTCTTTGCCTTCAGTCTCCAATAGGCAGTAAAATCTGAATCATACCCATCTTCCTCTAGGGAAGAACAGACTATAGGTGATACATGATAGTTGACTTTTCTCTTTATCTATTCATTATCACTTTTCCAGTGCCTCCACATATACTCACAGCCAATAAAGCCATCACTGCTTTCTGTTCTATATACACTACCTGCTTCTAGGTCTCGTTCTCAGTAGAGACAGATAAATTCAGTCCCAGCTAGGGGAGAGAGAGAGAAACACTCAGAGGAGAGACACTGTAGACTTTCAGCCTCAGATAGAAGAACTGATCAGGATTGATCTATGAGCTATCATGTATAGTTGTGCAGGTATGCCCATTTCAACTCTAGAAAACACTATTCACATCATAGTGCATGTGACTGGTACTCCGTGGAGTTTTCCATGCAGCTCACATTGCTATATTGGTTAGCCTTGTGTAAGGGGTCTATGAGGGAAGCAGAGTCTAGTAATAATGTGCCTGCTCTATCTGGGGTGAGCTAGACATATAAGGACAGCAAGTCTAGGGTCTTACCAGAAAAAAAAACAAAGGGATTTGAGATAGGTAGTGGAGGGGATGGGGACAAGGGATCAGTTGGGGAAGGAATTAGTCCATCAGTAGAGCTGCAAAAACTCAGAGGGTAGTAGAGCCTGGTGGGATAGAGCCCAGACAAGATCTCACACCTCTCTGGGCTCCTCTCTCTAGGCAATTCCAGCATCTCACTCGCTCCTACTTCAATATGGTGTTGATTGACAAGCAGGGGATTGACCGGGAACGCTATATGGAACCTGTTGCCCCAGAGGAAATCTTCACATTCATTGATGACTACCTACTGAGCAATCAGGAGCTGACCCAGCGCCAGGAACAAAGGGATGTATGCGAGTGAACTTGAGCCATGGCATGGTTGAAGTCAAGGGAAAAGTTCCCCTGGTTGGCTGAAACCTGGGCCTAATAAAAGGAGGAAATGGTTTCCCACAATTCTAGGGACAGGGCTCTGAGATGGGTGAGATTCACCAATCTTGAGACATTTCCAGACACCTTTTTAGAGCTGTGTAATTGTTTCCCTAAGCAAGTGTCTACTTTAGGTAGCACTGGAGGAGCATAAGGAGCCGAGTGGGAACTGAGGAGAGATCCTGGGCAGTGGGTTGGTGGTAGAAGGTTTTTCTTTTTTAACCTGGGCCTCTCCCAGCTCTCCAAAGCCTTCCAAATAAGTAAATCCTAAATTCATTCACTAACTGGCTGTGGGCTTCGTGTGTTTTTTGACATTAGTCAGCATTTAATAATATTGTTTGGCCATTTTATACGTCACTATTCTTAGTGACTCCTTTTTGTATTGGGGGCTTATGAGATATACATAAACATTTAAATTTGGAACAAGTTTGAGGTTGTTTGTGTTACAACATGTATAACATGTTTCTTGAAGGGCCACCTGGGTTTGATGAACTGCCAGATTGGAAGGGGAAACCTGGTGACACCAGACCATCTGCAGCCAGGACAATGATTAGAGGCTTTATTTTCACCCAGCATAATCAGACCACAGCAATTCCTTCCTGTCCAGAAGGAACAGAGCCGCTCTATAGTGGGTTTTCTCTTCTTTTTGTACAAGGAAATAAACAAGCTCATGGAGAACTTGGATAATGTCCCAGTTACTTTGTTCCAAATACATATTGTAAACTTTTATGGCATAGGGTACTTCTCTCTGAAGTTAAGTATAAACAATCAATTTTACAGCACTTTTTAAAAGAGAGTAAACAAAACATTGGCCTCATGTCTAATTTCCATTCTGGAATATAAAATATTTTAAAAGGATAATTAACATACAATATTATATTAGTTTCAGCTATATAACATAGTGAGATTTCACATATATATACTTTACAAAGCGATCGCCACAAAAAGTCCACTGTCTGTCACCATACAAAGTAATTGTGATATTATTGATTGCATTCCCTATACTGTACTTTACATCCCTGTGACTTATTTATAACTATAAGTTTGTCCTCTTAATCTCCTTCACCTTTTTGCACATACCTCTACCATTTAACCCTCTGGCAACCATCAGTTTTTCTGTATCTATGAATCTTTTTTTTTATTCTTTTGTTTAGTTTTTTAGATTCCACACATAAATGAAATGATACAGTATTTGTTTTTCTATGACTGATTCACTTAGCATAATACCCTCTAAGTCTATCCATGATATTGCAACTGGTAGGATTTCATTCTTTATTGTGGCTAAGTAATATTCTAGTGTGTGTGTGTGTGTACATATATATTTACTTCTTGTTTATCCATTCATCTACCAATGAACACCTAGGTCGTGTCCATATCTTGGTTATTGTAAACAATGCTGCAGTGAACATAGGGGTGCATATATCTTTTCAAATTTTGTTTTGTTTTCTTCAGATGAGCACCCAGAAATGTAATTGCTGGATCCTTCTTTGTTCCTTGTTATAGCCTTTGTTTGTTGTTGTTGTTGTTTTTTGTTCAGATAGAGTGGGGAGGGAGAGAGAGAGAGAAACATCGACGCGAAAGGGACACATCGAGTGGCTGCCACCTGCACAATCCAATCAGGGTCGGGGATAAACCGCAACCGAGGTACGTGCCCTTAGCGGGAACCGAACCCAGGTCTCTCTGGACCACAGGCCGACGCTCTACCGCTGAGCCTTACCGGCCAGGGCTAGCCTTTGTTTTAAAGTCTATTTTGTCTGATACAAGTATTGGTATCCCAGCTTCTTTTTTGTTTGTTTCCATATTCATGAAACACCTTTTCCATCTGTTTACTTTCAGTCTGTATGTGTCTTTCCATCTGGACTCTCATGTGGGTAGCATATGTAAGGGTCTTGTTTTTTTTTTTTGTTTTTTTTTTTTATCCATTCAGTCACCCTATGTATTTTCAATAGAGAACAGAGAACTTAGTCAAATTATATTTAAAGTAATTATTGATAGGTATTTATTTATTGCCATTTTAATTGTTTTCATACTAGATCTATACGTGGTTTATCTACTCTCTTTACTATATCTTTGCCTTCATTAGTGAGTTTTTTGTCATTCATTTATTCTCTTATTTCTAGTTTTGGCATTTTCTTTTCCACTTAAATAATTTTCTTAATGTCTCCTGTAATGCTATTTTAGTGCTGATGAATTACTTTAGCTTTTGTTTCTTTGGGAAAATCTTGTTTCTTAATCTCCACCTGCCTTTCTATTTTTATTTTCTAAAGTTTATTTATTTATTTTTGTTACAGATGTTTCTTCTTTTTCCCCCATTGACACCCTCCTCCCAATCTCTCCCCCACCCGGAGCATTATTGTCCATGACCTTGTTCACCCATACATGCATATAAGTTCTCTGGTTTACCTCTCCTTTAATTGTGAACGATAACCTTGCTGGGTAGAGTATTATTTTTTCTTTTAAATAATTAATTTATTTTTGTTACAGACGTTTCTCCTTTTTCCCCCAAAGATACTCCACTCCCCCGACCCCGACCCTGTCCCCAGCTTTGTTGTCCATGTCCATTGTTCATGCATACATGCACATAAGTCCTGTGGTTTATCTCTCCCCCACCACTCCCTCTTCTGGGGATTGTCAGTCTGTACCCCGCTTTCACATCTCTGGGACTACTCCATTCCTCAGACTGTTATGTTCATTATATTTCACAAATAAGAGACATCATGTGATATTTGTCTTTCTCTGCTTGGCTTGTTTTGCTTAGGATAATACTCTCCAGGTCCCTCCATGTTGTTTCAAAGGATAAGAGATCTTTCTTTCTTACAGCTGCATAGTAATCCATTGTGTATATGTACCACCGCTTTTTTATCCATTCCTCTAATGATGAACATTTGAGCTGTTTCCAGATTTTAGCTATTATAAATAGTGCTGCTGTGAACATGAGGGTAGATATACTTTTTTCTGATTGGTGGTTTAGGCTTCTTAGAGTATATTCCTAGAAGTGGGATCACTGGGTCAAATAGAAGTTCAATATTTAATTTTTTGAGGTAACACCATATTATTTTCCATAGTGGCTGCACCAGTCTGCATTCCCACCAGCAGTGTACTAGAGTCCTCTTTTCTCCACACCCTCACCAACACTTGTTGTTTGATGATTTGTTGATGGCGGCCATTCTGACAGGTGTGAGATGATACCGCATTGTTGTTTTAATTTGCATCTCTCTGATGATTAGTGATGTTGAGCATTACGTCATATGTCTCTTAGCCATTTGTATGTCCTGTTTGGAGAGGTGTCTATTTAGTTCCTCCGCCCATTTTTTATTTGGGTTCTTTGTCTTCCTTTTGTGGAGTTGTATGAGTACTCAAAATATATTGGAAATTAACCCCTTATCTGATGTATTATTTTCAGTTATGCTCTAGCATAGAGTGGGGTGCCTTTCCATTTTGGTGGTTGTATCTTTTGCTGTGCAGAAGCTTTTTAGTTTGATGTAGTCCAATGTGTTCATTTTCTCCTGTGTTTCTGTTGCCTTAGGTGATGTATCAGTGAAAATTCTGCTACGTATGATGTCTGAAATTTTGCTGCCTACATTTTCTTCTAGGATTTTTATGGATTCATGAATCACATTTAAGTCTTTTAACCATTTGGAGTTTATTCTGGAGTATGGTGTAAGTTGATGATCTAGTTTCATTTTTTTGCATGTAGGTATCCAATTTTCCCAACACAATTTATTAAAGAAGTTCTCTTTACTCTATTGTATGCTCTTGCCACCTTTGTCAAATATTAATTGAGCATATTGTCTTCCATCCATTTCTAGGTTCTCTATTCTGTTCCATTGTTCTATCTGCCTGTTCTTGTGCCAGTACCAGGATGTATTGATTACAGTGGCTTTGTAGTATAACCTGAAAACTGGTAATGTGATCCCTCTTACTTTGTTCTTCTTTTTCAAGATTCCTGTGGATATTTGTGGTCTTTTCTGGTTCCATATGAACTTTTGAAGTATTTTTTCTAGTTCTGTGAAGTATGTTGTTGGTATTTTGATGGAGATTGCATTGAATCTATAGATTGCTTTGGGTGGTATGGACATTTTAATGATGTTAATTCTTCCAATCCATGAACAAGGTATGTGCTTCCACTTTTGTATATCTTCCTCTATTTCTTTTTTCAATGACCTGTAGTTTTCTATGAATAGGTCCTTTATTTCTTTGGTTTAGTTTATTCCTAGGTATCTTAATTTTTTGCTGCAAAGATATATGGGATTGTTTTTTTAGTTTCTCTTTCTGTGAGTTCATCATTGGTGTAAAAAGTGCCATCGATTTCTTGACGTTAATTTTGTATCCTGCTACTTTGCCAAATTCATTTATTAAGTCTAGTAAATTTTTGATGGAGTCTTTGGGCTTTTCTACGTATAGTATCATGTCATTTGCGGATAATGACAGTTTCACTTCTTCATTTCCAATTTGGGTCCCTATTATATTTTCTTCCTGTCTGATTGGTGTGGCTAAGACTTCCAGTACTATGTTAAATAAGAGTGGCAAGCCCTGGCCGGTTTGGCTCAGCGGTTGGAGCGTCGGCCTGCGGTCTAGAGAGACCCGGGTTCGGTTCCCGCTAAGGGCATGTACCTTGGTTGCAGTTTGTCCCCAGCCCTGGTTGGTTGTGCGGGTGGCAGCCACTCGATGTGTCCCTTTCACATCGATGTTTCTCTCTCTCTCTCTCTCTCTCTCTCTCTCTCTCTCTCTCTCTCACTCTCTCTCTCTTCCTCTCTCTCCCTCCCACTCTATCTGTACAAAAAGTGGAAAAATGTCCTCGGGTGAGGATAAAAAATAATAATAATAAAAAAATAAGAGTGGCAAAAGTAGGTCTCCTTGTCTTGTTCCTGTTCTTAAGGGAAATGCTTTTTGTTTTTGCCCATTGAGTATGATGTTGGCTGTAGGTCTTTCATATATGGCCTTTATTATGTTGAGATATGATCCCTCTATTCCCACATTGCTGAGCATTTTTATCAGAAATTGGTGCAGATTTTGTCAAATGCTTGTTTAGCATCTATCGATATGATCATATGATTTTTATCTTTCATTTTGTTTATGTGGTGTATCACATTTATTGATTTGTGAATATTGTACCAGCCTTGCATCCCTGGGATGAATCTCACTTGGTCATAGTGGATAA